CCCACACTTCCCCAGGAAACAGAAGTGGGTCCGTGGAGTTTGGAAATAACTACCGCTTGATGGCAGTATTACATCAAAAACACCAACTGCCTCTCCTAATCCATGGTAAAAACTTCCGGAAGAAAAACCTACCAAAGACCTTAACAGTCTTGAAAACCCTCACAGGGTTGCCAGAAGTTGGAATCCCCTCAATGGCAGTGAGTTTGGTTTGGATTTGACAAGAATCTCATCCTAGAGAGACAGGTCCTCTGAAATATTCAGATACCTTCCTGATCATCGTTTCCTTAGGGAAGCACCCTGTCAACTGGATGTGTGTACTTACAGACCTTTCCAGCTCCTGGATGTGAACCCCCGGAGGAATCACACTTTCTCAAATCAATGCATCTCTAGATTTCTTTGAGAAGAGAGAACACACCAGCATTAGTGCCACTTTGCCCCTAAACCCTTCCCCACCCCCCTTGGTCCTCACTATACTCCAGCAAGAACTTGCTGCTACTTCTTTACTGGCCTTGCTGAAGCCCATGGTCCAGGGTGCTCAACCCAAGAAAGATCTGGAGAAACCATGGGACGAACAGGTAGGAGGGTACAGCTCAGATCAGAAGACAGAAACCTTCATGCCCTGTCTCTTCTCAAGGATCAACAACAATCTCACTCCCTAGAGGCTGGGACTTAGTGTTCATCTTTATTACATCTACTTATGTAACACTTTCTAAATCAGAATCTGGGGTCAACAGTACCCAGAAGGTTTCTGTTTTGTTTTGTTTTGTTTTCCACATGTGTAGATAGACAGGTAATCTTGGGGAGGATTTTTAGCTTTCACATGCAAATGGTGACAGGAGCAGCAAGGAGCACGCAATAATAGCTGGTATTTGTGAGGCCAACCTGCCATCCAGCAGAGGCTTTTTGATTATGGCCTCAATCTCTATTACTGAATACAACCAACTTCCATTAAGTCGATTCTGATTCATAACGACCCTAAATGACAAAGTAGAATGGTTCCCTAGGGTTTCTGAGACTTTAATTTTGGGGGTTTCAGTGGGAAGACAAAGAAAGCCTCCTCTTTTCACCTGGAATTGACATGCAGAGTTGAACTGCTGACCCTGCAGCTGGCAAGCCAACCTGTAACCCACCAGCAACCTGGGCTCCTTTAACTGAAGTATAAGGCCTGTAATATTTGGAAGTGTTGGACGGAGACACTCAGAGGGTCCTGGGGCCTCAGCACACCACCTGCAGAGCTTGTGTGAAAGCCACAGAACAAGGCTCCCTGACAAATAAGCCACAGGCGGCCTGCTTTCCAAGAACTGGGCGCAGTGGGGGCGTGGCCTCGGTGGCTGCCATGCTGAGGAAAAAGGAAAGATGAGCCATTTCTCATTAACAGTAAATTCTAATGAAAAATGTCCACGCTAATGTCAAACATATATTAAAAAGTTTTCACCTCAGACCCACAACTGAAATCCATTCCTCTCTGTGCAGATGATACCTGTGAGAAGGAGTTGGTTTTTTCCAAGGTGTTTCCAGGTAAGCAGACTCACCAGCAATCCTTATCTCACAAAGTAAAGATTTCTTCTTTTTTCCCCCCCTTTTTATCTTTTTTTTTTTTTAAACAGAGGAGAGCGCTAATGCAGTCCCCCATTACCACAAACTACGCAGTCGAGTTTCCGACATTTGGGGAAATGGCAGGGGTCAGCACATCCGGAGTGCAATGGATAAGCCTCGCTCTGGGAAAACCACCTTCGTGATCAAGGTGTCTCCCCTGCCAGGTAAGTGTGTCTACCCAGCTTCTACAGAAACTGGCACCATACTCTCCAATCATATATGACATACTCAACATACTGAACCTGAGAAATTTTACGTTTTACAGGCAAATTTTACAGGCAATATCGGATGACATCACCAGTCTCGTGAGGATTACAGAAGATGTGGCAATGCATGTCACTTACGCTCTGGAGACCTGCCATGGCCACTGGTCATGACTCCTGATGTCACAATGAAGTCCTCTCTCTCCAGGACCCAGCTGTTGACTCTGACCTGATGAGGCTGCACGAGAGTTTGGAAAAGACAAGGAGACCATGATAAAAGGAAAAAGAAAATCAAGATAGTCATCTCACTTCAAAGCAAACATCAAATTCCTATGAAAGCTCAAATCCGACCCAAGATGATTTATTACCTACCTGTGTGGACAGAAATCTGGATCAACGTAATAGCAATCAAACCAAACCCAGTCCACTGTCGATCAATTGATTCAGACTCAAAGAGACCCTATAAGACAAGGTAGAAATGACCCC